AAAATGAATACCAAGTTTGTTTCATCAAGTTTAGATAAAAGCTGTAGCCTCTATCGTGCAGACAAGAAATGTGAATGGATGGACGGACGATTGATGGACTGACGGACCGACGGACAGGGGCGACGGCAATATACGTCCACATTTCCAAATCAATTAAGAACTCATTTGATACTTAGTCGACTAGGGCATTATGTTGATAGGAAGTGCACTCTTTTTTTCTTAAATTTCTTGCCATTTAACCAATTTTGATAAAATATAAATCTACATCAATATTCCATTTATCCATAATGGCCAGCATCTGCTGAAATAATCTAGTGAAAAAATAATATATAGTACTTACGAAAGCAAGATGGTTTGGTACCAGTCCATCTGTATTCCAATCTATCAGAGGTGTCTATAGATGTTAACTGACAGAATCGTCTATCAATACCAAATAGTTTATAACCAGTATAACAATAATATTCTACAATACTACCAGGACTAGTTTCATATTCACGCATACCACCATTAGACATTCTATCTAGTTTAACACAGTCACTATCTGTAATCATAATAATATATCATCATATTACTCAAGCCACCATTTGATATTCTATGTAGTTGAACACAGTCACTATCTGTAATCATAATAATATATTATTATATCATTTATACCACCATTAGATATTCTATCTAGTTTAACACAGTCACTATCTGTAATCATAATAATATATCATCATATTACTCAAGCCACCATTTGATATTCTATGTAGTTAAACACAGTCACTATCTGTAATCATAATAATATATTATCATATCATTTATACCACCATTAGATATTCTATCTAGTTTAACACAGTCACTATCTGTAATCATAATAATATATCATCATATTACTCAAGCCACCATTTGATATTCTATGTAGTTAAACACAGTCACTATCTGTAATCATAATAATATATTATTATATCATTTATACCACCATTAGATATTCTATCTAGTTTAACACAGTCACTATCTGTAATCATAATAATATATCATCATATTACTCAAGCCACCATTTGATATTCTATCTAGTTAAACACAGTCACTATCTGTAATCATAATAATATATTATTATATCATTTATACCACCATTAGATATTCTATATAGTTTAACACAGTCACTAGCTGTAATCAAAATAATATATCATTATATCACTCATGCCACCATTAGATATTCTATCTAGTTTAACACAGTCACTAGCTGTAATCAAAATAATATATCATTATATCACTCATGCCACCATTAGATATTCTATCTAGTTTAACAGTCACTATCTGTAATCAAAATAATATATTATTATATTATTCATACCACCATTAGATATTCTATCTAGTTTAACACAGTCACTATCTGTAATCAAAATAATATATCATTATATCTCCCATGCCACCATTAGATATTCTATCTAGTTTAAAACAGTCACTAGCTGTAATCAAAATAATATATCATATCACTCATACCACTATTAGATATTCTATGTAGTTTAACACAGTCACTATCTGTAATCAAAATAATATATCATTATATTACTCATACCACCATTAGATATTCTATCTAGTTTAACAGTCACTATCTGTAATCAAAATAATATATTATTATATTATTCATACCACCATTAGATATTCTATCTAGTTTAACACAGTCACTAGCTGTAATCAAAATAATATATCATTATATCACTCATGCCACCATTAGATATTCTATCTAGTTTAACAGTCACTATCTGTAATCAAAATAATATATCATTATATCTCCCATGCCACCATTAGATATTCTATCTAGTTTAAAACAGTCACTAGCTGTAATCAAAATAATATATCATATCACTCATACCACTATTAGATATTCTATGTAGTTTAACACAGTCACTATCTGTAATCAAAATAATATATCATTATATTACTCATACCACCATTAGATATTCTATCTAGTTTAACAGTCACTATCTGTAATCAAAATAATATATTATTATATTATTCATACCACCATTAGATATTCTATCTAGTTTAACACAGTCACTAGCTGTAGGCAATAAAAGTTATAATTAATCGTATAACCATTTCTACCTCCTTTACAAAGCACTAAGTTACTTTGAAGAAATAACAATGAACATTACTTACATACTCAAGCACAATGAAATAATTTAGGTTTACCTCGACATTGTTTAACAATATCTGTCCATCCTCCAGAAGATTGACATTGTATTTTACTATCTCCATCAGGAATAGTATTTTTAGGACAGGTGATATAAGCTATAGTAGGGTATATATATCTTCCATCAGGTAATACAGTACCATGATAAAACACTTCACCATCTGACACATCTAGTGGTTTGCATGGAGCTAAAAGCACAAGATTTCATATGAAGATCTCTCAAGAACTTAAACCAACTTCATTTAGAACAACAAAACAACTTTGATTTGCATTGACTTATACAGCATTAGGGTATTGCCCAGTCTTAATAGAAATTCCATTGTCTTTTTAGCTATACTGAAAATTTTACAATGATTCAACAGTTGGATTGCAGTTTCGAGAGGTGCCATTCTAATAATGTTTTTCTACAGATTATATATATTGATTTGGAAAGGAAGTAGGATAAGTGGGGTTTTATTGTGTAACCACTTTTATTCCTTAGATCTTATCCTTGATGTCTTGACCTCTGTATTTCTATTCCCCTCCTTGATGTGGAAAGCTTAAGTAAAGAAAGAAAGACCCTGAAATATATGTACTTACCAATACATGTGTGTCTTGGTTTTAATAAATAACCATCTACAACAATTTCTGGTCCATCGTATAATTCATAAACAGAGGAATTACATGAACAGTAATAACTTCCCAAAGTATTATTACATACTTGATTACAATTACCATTATTTCTTGAACACTCATTTATATCTACAATATCAGGTTTAAAAAATTCAATCAAATATATAATTCTGCATCAAACAGGCAGAAAGCTATCAGAAATCAAGAAATCAAAGCAATCGAAACTAGATCATATAAAAGTGAGAAAAGGGCTATTCAAGTCTATTTTCTAATATTCAAAATTCTATAGCCTGGATTATCTTGAAACTTGCGGTATATAGCTGTACACAACAGATTCTAATCTGAGTTGAGGTCAAAAATATATATCACATTTTTTTTGCACTTTGAGTGGAGATATCCTGAGGGATATTCATTTTCTTCAAATTACTATCAAGTAGGAACCCTATATCTAAAGTGAAATGCACACACCTCTTTTCCATCCCCAATGGAAAATAAGTATTGGCTTGTGGTTTCCAAGTTTCATTTTGCTTAAAATTGAAAGTTTTTACCTTGACAAGTTGTATTTGTGACAATAGAATGTTGATATCCTGGTTTACATGAACATTGATAACTACCAATAGTATTCTGACATTCATGTTCATTACAATCATTATTATCATCATCTAAACATTCATTAATATCTAAAATATCAAACATTACAAAATCTTCATAACATATTCCATCTTAATTCACATTAAGTTATTCACATATAATTACAACTGCATAATTGGTAAAGGCATACAACGCAAAATATAAGCATAAGCATGCCCTTTTATAAGAGACAACATTGGTCATGGAATCTCGCAAAGATAGTTTGCCAGGCAAGGTAACATACGCCCACTACCAGCTGTCAAAAATTTTTAGTGGCTTAATAATGAATTTTCAAATAATATTAAAATCAAAAGTCAAGGCAAAAATCTGAAACAGTTCATCAAGTTATCATCAAATTCAAACATGAACAATGTCTCATCGCTGTATACACAAGGGCAATAACTCGGAAACTGTTCATCCGATTATTACCAATTTCTAACTTGACCGAGATCTTATCATGCATATATAGTTTCATCAAGATTGGAATAAAACTGTAGTCTCTAACATGCCTGCAAGCCGAATTTGACAAGTTTGTACTAAGTCAAGGGGAATAACTCCGAAACCCTTCATTCGATTGTTACCAATTACAAACTCGAGCGAGATATCAAGATATACATGCATACCTAGTTTCAGGAAGATCAGATAAAAACTGCAGTTCTATCATGCCTACAATCCAAATTTGATTCATTTTTACTAAGTCAAGGGCAATAACTCTGAAACCCTTCATCCGATTGTTACCAATTTTAAACTTGAGTGAGATCTTATCAATATATACATGCATACCTAGTTTCATGAAGATCTGATAAAAACTCTAGCCTTTAACGTGCAAACAAGCCGAATTTTACGCATTTTTATTAAGTCAAGGGCAATAATTCAGACACCATTCATCCGATTACCATTTTCGAACTTAACCAGGATCTCATCAATACATACTAGCATACTAAGTTTCATCAAGATAGTATAAATATTGTAGCCTCTATCGTGCATACAAGAAACAGACAGACCGATGGACAGGGGCGACGGCAATATACGCCCACATGGAAATGGCTAGTAGAAAGCACATTACATCTAAATATTTTGGCTTACCATCACATGAAGGAATAGGTTTATCATATCTTTCATTTTCCATACAAATTAATACAGGATCAGAGGAAGGTTGATAACCATTATTACATATTATCTTGACAGCTTGATTTATATATACCCAATCTGTTATATTAACATCACCATTCACTATACCTTTTATAATAGGACAGTGATAGGCTGAAATACCACAATAAAATATATGAAAATGATACATATAAACAACACACAGGATATCTTCTTTATTGATCAGATAATTATAAACAATGACACAAGCTCATTCAAAAAGTTTTATGATCTATATGATTATTGAAATCAAACAATTACACAGTTTTGCATTAATACTAGAGGACTTTAACTCTGCTAAAATAAGAATGAAAACTGTTTAAATTAAAGAATCTCTGTAGAAAGTGGAGAACAAAGAGGAATTCCTCAACAGGATTTGTATCAACACCTTACAGTGTTTCCAAGGTAATACCATTGATAATGGTGCTAATCATTGAGGTTTAGGTGTCATACCTTGACAAGTTGGTGTTGGACTAGACCAAGTTTTATCAGCTTGACAATGAGCTTCAGCAGATCCTACCAATCTATAACCTACTTTGCATTTATATATTAAACTAGCACCATATCTATTGTCTTCAGCAAAAACTATACCATTGACTGGTGGTAAGACTTTAGGACAGTAGATTGCTGTAATAATAATTAATATAGAATAGAATTGACAAAAGACAATGTACTTATACTGACACTGTGTTGTTTTGGGAGAAATACTATTATTGTAACCTTATTAAAAAAAAAAATGACAACACTATCACCATAACATTATATCTGGCACAGTATACTTAGGTATGTTACTTACTCTAATAGCTGTGGTAGGATACAAAATTGAATGTGGTAGTAACCTAATGTCATCAGATTGCTTCATGGCATAATGGCAGTTTTAAAAGCTGTTTACGCAATTGAGTATATAACTTACCATCACAAGTTGGGATTGTAGACCAGCCATTTTGATAACAGATACTATATCTATCTCCTAGTAATTCATAGCCTTCTATACAGTCATATTGCACTATACCACCATAAGTTATTGTATTTAATTTAACTATCATACCATTCTCTGGTATTCTTGGTGGGCCACAATTTATTACTAAAAAAAAATATGAAAAACAGATTAATTTCTCTTTTCAATCAAAAGACATTCCAAGAAGATAGGTCTGTAAATAGAGTTAAAATGATTTCTGCTCTCAAAATTTCAGTCGAATGATGTCTTATAATGACATACAGACATCTTTCATCAATGACACTGAAAGAAGCTCATATAAAATATTGTTTTGACTACTTAACTGTATTGTATCAAGCTAATTTTTTCGAACACATTCTAATAATGTGAAACATTGGACATATCTATACGACAACTAATTTAATCTCTTTTCCCAATTGATAATCCAACTTAGTAGCTTTAACTAAGAACATAACTTACATGAACAAGTTGGTATTTGATTTGGTCTCCATTGACCATTAATATCACAGATAGTTATAGATGGTCCATCTAATATATATCCTTTATCACAGCTAAATTGTATAATACTACCATAATAATTACTAGTAGAATTAATAATCACCGGTTTATTAACTACCAATTCATTACAATCTATAATATACAATAGCAAGATGAATTATACATCTTATCAGAGTATGACAGTCCTCGACCAGAGCAATTGAGACAAGTCAAACCACAGTTTGTTGTAATCCTGATGCATATAAATACATGTGTGTTGTATGTCTTAGGGATTGTACCAATTACAGTATGCTACCTATTTCTAATGCAGTTTTAAAACACAGATCTTTCAAAGTCAATATACTTTGATCTATTTAACATACTTTCAATTTTTTTTTCTGTCTGATGCGCCAAATTCACTATCATCTCTACATTCATTAAATTTTGGTTAATCAAATATGAAAGTAAAGTTATTACCATATGAAACAGATGCTGTCCATCCTAATCTCTGAATACGTTTATCAGATGTAAAATGAACTTGAAATTTTCCATTTTTAGAATAAGTAGGTAGAGGAGTTATCTTTCCTGAGAATACTTGGACTGGTTGACTAGAGCCATTGTATACCTGTAAAAAAGTTTTTCAGTTTCTCTCTGCACTTAAGTTTGCTTATCATAGAGATTACTATAAGTCAATGTTTATTCCATAATGGATAGATTAGACTACAACATAGCCTTATACTGTCCTATCAAGAAGACTAGTAGCTTTTTTCAATGTTTTATGTCAGAGAATGGGCATATTATATTTCATCAAGATATGCTCAAATCTATGGACAAGAGTCAAGGACAATGACTCACAAAAAGTTGATTGAAAATTTGAGATCTCTAATTCAAGACGGATGTTGTCAGTGCCATCAAGGGGAATTACTCCTAACTGTTAATCTAAAACATTGAGAAATTCAAATTCAGCAATGTATATACACATTCAAATCAAGTTTTATTCAAATCAGATCAAAACTGTAGTCTATTATTCATTTTCGTAAGCATATTATGATCAAACAGACTCAAGTTCAGTTCCAAACTCACAAAAAGTCCCTGACAATGAACATAATCTTCATTGCAGAATACTGATTTGTCAATAATTAACACATTTCAAACATACATAATGGAATATGTCTACATGTCAGATACACCAACTTCCATATCCAGTTGTAAAATACTTTTATTCTAAATATTGTTGCCAACTGCATTTTCAATGTTTAGAGACAATTAACACTCACAAAATCATTGACAAGTGGTTGCCTAGCAAGATACGCCCACTTTCCTGATACATTTTCAGTATATCAAGGGCAGTCACCTATCTGTGTCAAATCATACCAAACATCTAATTTTGATGCATTTTTACTAAGTCATGGGCAATAACTCAAATTCCGTTTATCAAAAAATTGTCAAATTTAATCTTGACTAAGATCTCATCATTATAAATGATCATACCAAATTTCTTTTCAATCAGATGACAAGATGACATAAGTCAAGGGAAATAACTCAAAAACCGTTCATCAAAAGATTGTCAAATTCGAATTTATCCAAGATCTCATGAATATATATGATCACAACAAATTTTATTCAAATCAGATAAAAACTCTATTCTATATTGTGTTCACAAGCCAATTGTGGATGACAGTATACGAAAACATAATGTGGGCGTATAAAAATAGACAATTTTAACAAAGGCTCGAAGCATTTTCAGTAAGGTTTAGGTGTGACTAAATGTTAAGAGCCAAAATGTTTTCTTTGTCAAACTTTTGAATACAGATTTCCAAAAATATCAATAAATTTAATCAAAACTTGTGTATGCTAGAAGAAGAAAATCACTTAAACTAAGAAATCACTTGATTTACAAAGTTTCTACAAAACTTGTGCCTTCTAGGCTGTTGATTAAACATGGGCAACTGAAATATGCACTCCACATATAACAAGTGGTTGACTAGCAAGATACGCCCACTTTCCTGAAACATTTTCAGTATATCAAGGGCAGTCACCTATCTATGTTAAATTATACCAAAAATTTAATTTGTGCAAGATATTGTTGATTTAAACAAAAACCACATCATTTTACAAAATTCTGACATAAACTGTCACCTCTATCACCAAAAATTTTGATGAGTTTTTACTAAGTCAAGGGAAATGACTAAAATTCCGTTGATCGAAAAATTGTCAGATTCAATGTTGATTAAGATCTCATCATTAAAAATAATCATATCAAATTTCATTGAAATAGGATGAAAATTGTACTCTCTATTGTGTTCAAAAAAAAATTTTGACTCGTTTTTCATAAATCAAGGGCAATAACTCAAAAACCGTTCATCGAAAAATCCTGAATATTGAACTTGTCCAAGATCTCATCAATATAAATGATCACACCAAATTTCATTCTAATCAGATGAAAACTGTAGTCTCTATTGCAATCACAAGCCAATTGTGGACAGACGGACGGACGGACATGGGTGACGACAATATACGTCCACATTATAATGTGGGCATATAAAAACACTTTAAAGCCATCATCACAAAGGCCACAATTTCAATTTTTATTGAGTATATAGTTTTTAGGTGATCTATGGCCTTGCCTAAATTTCATTATAGGCATAAGTTTAGTTCTTTGAACTTAGTAGTTCAATAAAAACAACAAGATCCATATCTTTTTAATTCTAATTATATACACAATAAACAAATAATAAAGATCTTCATTGGTTTGTTTAGATTAAAATAACAGTCTTCCCTCTTCTTATCACTATTACCATTTCAACTGCATCAACATCTACAAAAAATAAAATCATTTTAATCTTAAAATCAACAGAACCACACCTTAAAGGGACATTCTGCTTTTTTTGTAGGTTAAAATCTTTTTTTGCTTTAATTTGTAAACACTATATACCAAAATCTAGAGAATTGTGCCCTTTAATGTATCTGAAAGTCTTTACCCAAAAAATCTGGCTGTTAGGTTTTAAATGGCAAAAATATTTAAAAACATTTCATTTTGTTTGTTATGCTATTTGGAAGTTGTTAGAAAACTGATGTACAGATCAGAGTAAATTAAACACCTAATTGTAAACAATATGTTTCCTATGTATTCTTAAGATTTTAACTAATAATATCAAGCCATTTTAAAGCCAAACATCAAAACTAGGCTAAACTGTTAAAGAACTATCTGTTTTTAATCAACCCTTTTAAAACAAATTCTGTTTGATCAAGAAGATACATAAATATAAATAGCATACTTTAGAAATATTTACAATATAATTTACAACGTTTTTGACAATGTAAAACTTTTTACAAAAAATAAAATCAGAAAAATCAAACCTAGACTAAAAAATATTTAAAATATTTAAAATTTTCAAAATATTGATCGTCAACATTGGTTTTTGACATTTTGGAAAACAATCTCCCATTTTGGTTACCTAATTCCAAATTAAGGTTTTAGACATTATAAAATCTAGGAATCTCAGTGTAAGTATGTTAGATGTTAGTGTAGGACTAGTGAATGTTACAGGTGAATATCAAATAGAATTTCTAAATTTCACACACCAAAGATTTACATATTGTTTTATATTTCTTAAATAATTCTGAATGTAACCATGCTAGGGAGAATAAAATACTAATAAACATATTTCTTTTGAAAAAAGTTTCAACCCTATTTGCCAGCTGTGTCTGCCTCTAATTGGGGTTGTGAAATGTCTGAATGCTAAGTCAAAACACATTTTTGAAAATGAAGCCAGGACTGGCATGATTCTGTCATATAAACTGATCTTTGGAAGGTTCAAATCGACCACAGATTCAATAATTGCAGTCAAATGTCACCATCAAAATAGTTTTTAGTTGCAATCAAAATTTTCAAACTTGTTTAGTGGGTCATTTACTTTATTCCACATATTGTAATTTCAAAAATCCTATGCCAGAAGTGCCAGCTAAAAGCAAAAAATGAGCTTTTGTTTATTACATTTCTCTTTCAAATAATATTGAAATTTGTTTATCAATAGAAGTTATCAAGGCTGATCGGAAACTATGTTTCTAGTGCTATAGCACAGCACTAATTAAGGAGAAACATTTTCAAATAATTTTTATCATTATCTTATTTGATTATATATCATTTCCTATAAGCACATAATCTTTACCCATAGTTAATTTATACCTAGTAGTTTGTATAATTATACCTTACTTTATCTCTAATAATACACAGTGTCTTAAGAACTTTAAACTAAATTTACCTACCTCATATAAAAACTATTTCACTCAATCTATGTCTCAGTGAATTTAAATCTTCCTTTTCTTAAAACCAGAAACTGGAAGAATAAAAACAATGTGTAGCATACAATGTAAGGATGGCACATATCTCTTAAATAAAAATCGTTTTTTCACTCAACAACAAAATCAAGGAAGTGAATGCAAAAATCTAAAATAGTCAGAGCACTTTGATAAAACTTCATATTATGAAAATGAACAATTGCTCTAAAACACATGAAAGCTTACCTGGAAAAAATTGAAATGAATCTGAAAAATTTCAAATTCTGTTTCCAATAAAAAATTTCTTCTGTTAATTTTCAGACATGACAACAAGACGTGGTGAACTCTGGGATGTCTGCAGTCACAATGAACAAACAATACAGGTGTAGGGAGGTCTCTACCCTACACTGATTTCAGCTCACTGAAAAGCTGTGAATGTTACCTTTGTCTACATTTCCAGAAAACTCCTTTATACTCTTGAACAAAATTCATCCTTAACCCCTTAACAAAATTCATTCTAAATCAAGAATTATCAAACATGGTGAAAGTTGAAGTAACTCAAATAGATTCTTAGTTGTGAAAGGTGGATAATCTGTCTTTTTCTGAACTGTTTTCTGAGACTTTCAAATTGTTCATAGACCTACTTATCAACCTGTTTTCCATATTGACTCAGATAGCTAGTCAGCCCCAGAGCAATAGTCTTGCAAGACAACATACACCATCTATATGTCTGCTATCAACAAGTAAATTAGTTAGGGATATTATAACTTTTTATGGTGTAGTCTCTAGTTTCAGAAAGACATATAAACCCTTTTTTGGTTTTATTGAATACAAACAAAATACTAAAGAAATAATGACATCAACTTACAGAAACTATATCAGACTTTTTCTCTGTATTAAAATCTGTGTTAAAACTTAAAGTAAGATGTCGTTGGTTAGGATCAGCTATTCTCCAAATACAATTCAGATTATTTGGGTATTTAGTCACACCATAACCAGGAGATTCAATCTTACCAAAACCATTCATAATATCTATATCACAGCCTACAAATCACAAATAACGACAGGAATGAGAATTTCATGTCCTATTTCTCTGCACCTGATAAGGAAAATGAAGTCAGGCAATGCCATGCAGTTTGCAATGAGGGAACTTTCACCAGGACAGACACATTAGCCTAATCTTTTTCCATTTCCAACTGTTGCGGGGTCTTTAAGTTGCTCAGTCTGTAGCACACAAAGCCTCAGTACCAACTGAATGACTATACACTTTTTCCATGCTTTACAAATCACAAAATAATTTGTTCATGGTAATTTTACCAATTTACCAAGTATCCAATGCAAATAATGTCATCATAACCCAAATTGGCAGAAACCTGAAAACACCATCAAAAATTGTACCTTAACATAATATTCATAACAATACTTTACTTACCTATCTTATATGTAGCATTAAAACCTTTCATACCATACGAAAAATCAGAATTCATCTTCACAAATAATTCAGATTCAGATGAAATAATAACTTTAGGTAAATTATCACCACTAAATCTCTCAAATAACTCAGAGGAACTGGAATCACCATTTCTTACTTCTATCCAATCATAGGGATTTTCAAATTCAAAATCTCCAAACTGTATATACAGAAAGTAAAATAAATCCTTAAATATGTTATAGATAATGATCAATGTTAAAAATCATTTATAAGACGAACCGTAACATTTGAGCTGACACAACACATAATTTGCTAAAAAAATCAAATTCACAGTTTCACAGTATAAATATATCTCTTTTACACTTTGGATAAATAGATATCTCTATTCCACTATTTTACACTTTTGTGGTCTAATGAAGATGAACAATCAAGGTTATAGCATAATGGCAAATGTCTCACTTTTAAAACAACAACGAAGTGTATGTATTTTTAATCCACCAAACCTTCTCTGCCTCATTTGAACTTGGACTGTGCTACAGCCTTGACAATATCATGCAATTTACAATAAGAGAAACAAGAGGGCCTCAACATGGAAAGCTCAAGAAGCTTAAAAGAACTGTTGCATGCAGGGTTAAGGGCCTTAACTTAACATCAAGCTGTTTAAATGCTTTAAGGATGTACCTGTAAAGTTATAATATCATTTTTATTTTGAGCCGTAATGATCCAATCACAGACTAAGTTATCAGGATAATACTGTGGATATCTTGGGGATGTGAACCATCTTGTATGATCATCAGCTGTTAAACTTCCACCACAACTATCTTTATCACCATCAAATAATACTAAAAAACATAAAGATACAAATGTATCAAGCCAATCCACAACCAGTATTATGTTACAAAACTAGAATTTGGGATTCATTTGATGGCACATGCATTCAGCTAAACTACATTTGTCAATGGAATCATTTTACGCTCGTATTATTATGAAATGGCTTCTTATATTAGATTCACACAACAGAAAAGGAGGTTCTGTTTTACTAAACCTAAGTTAATTATTTTAAGCATTACTATCACATGTTTATATATCACAGTGGAACATTATCTTACAATATAATATTTAGTATTGGCTGTAAAAGATCTGTTAAAGTCTTATACATTACCTGTATGAAATGCTGCCTGAAATCCTTTTTTCTGTTTGGAATGGTCAGATTTCATATGAATAATAAGAACATTAGATGATGAGAGAGGTACTGTAGGTAGATCATTACCAGTATAATGTCCCAGTTTAGTAGAATCTGTGTTGCTACCATCAAATATTGTAATATAATCATACTTAGACTCCAAGTTGAATTCATTAAACTGTAAATAAACATCAAACTTGTTTTTAACAATTTGTCCACTAAAAGATAGGATATTTGAAAATATTTTCAATTCAGTGCATAAACTTTTTACTGAGATCTTGTTTCAGTCAATTACATATCACAAGTTAATTAAATATACATTAAGAAAAACAAATATTTGTCACATAATAATGTAGTATTAAATTGATGATTATGCATCTGGCCTCATATTTTTGAAACAATCTAAGAGCTAAGATGTCCTAAGGTCTTAACTGCAAACACTGTTCCTGGGATATTCTAGTGCTAAGATCATTGCTGAAATATATGGGGCTGAGATATTGGTTTATAATATCAAAACTTACTGTCAGCTGTATTTTTGATCCCACAACAGTTTCAATTCTCCACTGACAATCTGTATATTTGAGATATTTTTTAGGATAATTAGGAGAATTAAAAATGCCAGTTAATCCTGATACTATTCCACCACACTGTACATCTAAAATACAGAGCAAAGAACAACTTCTTAATGAGTTGGAATCCCAAAATGAGTCATTTTGAATGTGATTTTTTATATCTTTCTGGTGTATTAGACAATTACAGCATCAATTTGCACCATTCCAAATTCTATAGTGGCCACAAACCAATTTTGACGCGATTTTACTAAGTCTAGGGCAATAACTAAACCGTTCATCGAAAAATCGTCAAGATCTTATCAATTCCAATGCTCACACCAAGTTTCATCAAAATCCATTGAAAATTCTAGCTTCTATTGTGGCCACAAACAAATTTTGACCCGATGTTACGTATTCAACGGCAAAAACTCAAAATCCGTTTTATTGAAAAGTCCTTGCTCACACAGAGTTTCATCAAAATCCATTGAAAATTGTAGTTTCGGACAAGAACGACGGCAATATACAACCACATTTTCATGTGGATGTATAAAAACTCAAACAGACAAAAAAAACAGAAAAAAACAGAAGGTCTGACATCACTATATGTTGCGTCTAAGTGGTGTATAAGTTATAAATTATAATATAACTGCAAAACAAAAGTTTCTTTCACTTTCTAAGCCAGATAAAATAGAGGCATCAAATAAAATCTCCTTATTGACTATTTCAGGACAAACTGTAAAGATCTTTGGTACATCAGTCTGCAATAATGAAATATACTTCCAGAATATAAAGAGAAAAAAATATATATTCACAAATTATGTGTTTAATTTCCACATACCTGTATTACAATCTCTTTCATCAGATCCATCTAAACAATCTTTCATACCATCACAAATCCAATTTTTACAAATACACCCTCTTCCATCAGCACATCTTTTCTCATGACGTTCACATGTTCTTATTTCACATACAAAAGGTCGCTTCTGTTCACATCCATGTAATATCCATCTATATTTACCATATTTTGTTTCATTTAAACCAATATCACAACATTTCTTTTCTTTAATACCTGTTACCAAAATACATATTATATTAAACAATGGCTAGAGATTTTGAAAAAAGAACAGTGACAAGGATATCATTTAACTGAAATTCCTCATAAACATTAGTAACTTAGGTTTTATAGTACTACTAAGATACCCACAAATATCACTTTCATCACAATATAGGCTGATTCAGACATCACAAAAATAAAGATGTAGTGTGGTACCAGGTTTACAACACATATCACAAGCTAAAAGTATATTCTAGACTATCAAGAATGAAACTTACTTGAAATAAAAGGGGGATTATTTGGTGACCAAAAGCCTTCCTGTTCTGTACCCGTATCACCATTAGACCAGTAAAATTTACCATCTATTTCTTGGTTGAAGCCTTAAAAAATTGAAGAAGAGGTCTTACCATGATGATTGATATCACAATCATAATTGGATATTAAGTTTCAAAATCAAGGGAATCCTTCATTTTCAATTATTCAGATTTTAATTCTGAAATATAGCTTGCCAGGCAAGGTAACATACGCCCACAGATAGCTTTGATTGTAAGTATTATGAAATTCAATATATTTACCATCTTCATAATGATATTGACACACAAAATCAAAATCAAAAGAATCTAAGAATGTACAGAATTGTAGCTTGTAGAGTGAGCACAAGTTGCACAATATAGCTAATAGAGTAAAATTTCAAGTCAGACAGGATATTTTGGTGAAAAACTATCTGATTATCACAAAAATCGATAGGGATCATCTTCATAATGACATTGACACACAAAATAAAAATCAAAAGAATCCGTATAGAATTGTAGCCTGTAGAGTGAGCACGAGTTGCACAATATAGCTAATAGAGTAAAATTTCAAGTCAGACAGGATATTTTGGTGAAAAACTATCCGATCATCACAAAAATCGATAGGGATCATCTTCATAATGACATTGACACACAAAATCAAAATCAAAAGAATCTGTAAAAAAGTGTAGCTTGTAGAGTGAGCACGAATTGCACAATATAGCTAATAGAGTAAAACGTCAAGTCAGACAGGATATTTCCGTGAAAAATTATCCGATTATCACGAAAATCAATAGGGATCATCTTCATAACAACATTGACACACAAAATAAAAATCAAAAGAATCCATAAAGAACTGTAGCCTGTAGAGTGAGCACGAGCCAAATGTGAACAGACGGACGGACCGACGGGGTGATTACAATATACGCCCATCTTACGTGTGGGCGTATAAAAATACTACAGGTAGCTGAATTTGAACTGTGCTCAACCAACTATTTAGACGATTATACCTCTTTCTGAATGGTTTCAACTGTTCTTCTACAGAGGTGGTTTCTTTTAGCTACAGGTGTAGATAGATGTAGAGAAAATTGTCCAAATTTTCGAATGGTCAAAATCAGTGTAGCTATAAAAACATGGTGAACTTTAAAAATGGTGAAATTAAGAGCTTACCAATCCATGAAAATAACTGTGACTGTTTACCCACAGGAATTTTAACATTTTTATCATTTGAGGTATCTTTAACAAAAAATTCTTGTATAATTTTCCCTAGACCTCGATTACTGTTAAAACCATTAATGTGTGCTAAACTTCCTCCAAAGCTGAAAAACAAAGATAGTTAAACTTGAATATACATGTATATAACTGTATCCTCTATTTTATATACAGAGATTAGTATTAGTCTAAATGTATAGAGAAATAGCTTCTATCCTATTTAGGTTATAAATGGAATAGATATATCAACCTTCACTAAGGGCATTTGTTTAAGTATTTGTTTTAAGAATATTTTATAGCTAAGATAAACTGGATAATTGCATTCAAAAACACACAAGAATGATTGGTTTTTAGCTTTGGGTAACTATGCTGTTGATTGTTGGCCTTTGAGGACAGATGTAATCCAGATAGAGCCGAAACTTATGTGAAGAAGATGTGTTTTGCTAGGGATATTGACATCTTGAATTCTTTGCACTGTATTCATGGCTACATTTGACAGTGAGTATGATGTGGTCCTGACAACACATAGTTATGTCAAGAACTGTTCAGGATCGAACATGCTGCACTAAATATTCAATTTTCAATTCAATTCAATTTGGTCTATTCCCACTTTTTTAACAGTGAAACTATTTTGTTATTCTACATGATTATATATGGATGTAAGCAATATAACATTTTTATAAACATTTGACCTATCTAATATGTAAAACAGGTGGAGAACAAATTATTTCTTTACATTTTTTCTTGGCCAATTAAAATAATAAAAAGTATTAGATAATTAGAATAAGACTGTAGTGGTAAAGTAACACCTGTTTTTATTCTTTCATTAATTTTATCAGAAAATGTACATTGGCAACGCCCTAATTTTCTAATATAATCTTAATTTTTAAAGCATAGATGTAGATAGAGCTGTAATTTAAAGAGTATGTTATATGAACATATGTTTTACACACTAGCTATATCATCAACTTTGAGACTTGAGACTATACTTGGCAATAAATTCAAACTCTAAAAAATAAATCTAACAAAACTTGACAACTTTATCACATTTCAAATTCTTCTTGATATTTTCATAAAAATTACAGTATAGTATCTATCAACTTTCAACGGAAAAATAGACTGTTTAATCATAATTTTAAGACAGACAACATTTACTAAATTGAACAAATTTATGTCATTTTATAGGTATCGAGCAATTGATTACCAAACGCATTTCATGGATAACAAACACCTTCACACATTTCCACAAAATATTCAAAATTCTAATATTTTCTAATCATATCTATTACATACCAAATTATTATGATTATTTGGGAAATATCATGCCTAAGTAGAAAAGATCATTTGTGAACTAAAGTATTTATCTTATAGTTGTTTTCTTTTCATTCTTTCTTTAAAATGTTGCTTTTGGTGGATGTTTTCACTTTTATTGAAAGACAGAAATTATATGAAAATGAACTAATGAGGACAGACAATGCGGTTCAGTGTGCGGTGAATAAAATTAAGCTGCATTCGATATCTGCTTTGAAAATAGTGTTTACGACTCGCAACTCTGAAATTTGTGTGCAAAGGTAGAGACTGTACGCGCCTTGATTAATCGTCCCATCAAACAACTAGGCCCTTTTGTTTGAGGGGAAAACATGGTTGAAAAATCAACTGACTTTTTAGGTAGCAAGCAAACTCAATGAGCCATTGCTACTCCCAGAAAATATATAATTAAAATTAACCATCTTAATTGGTATTTTCATCAAATTGAATTGAAATATGCAGATTTATTTGAATAACATCTTAATTTGACTTGCACATTAGCTAAAGGCTAAAGGTTGATGATATCTGACTATGATCAGGGTGTGGTAGTGGAAAGACTATAAAAATATAACCATATAACCATATAATTCATATATATCATCATAAAATAGTAATTTTGCCCTCAGGTACTGTCAATCTCAAAACTTGATAACAATTGAATCAAGATAAAGTTTAATATGAGACTACATGTACAATATATGAATATCAAATTCAATAAACAATCACATATGTTTATTATTGGGTGTATATCTTGGGTTTTAAAATAAATTCCTCATCTCTTCATTACAGAAGCAAAATAACTCTTTTAATCAGAAAAATATCTTATCTTCATTTAGATTAGCATTTATAGGTTTAAAGGAGCAGTATGCAAAATTTTTCATTATCAAAAACATTGAAAGTTAAACTTAATAAATATTATTAAAACTATTTAAATAAAATTATTTTAATATTTTTAAATATTTTTTATATACTGTATTCTATAGTCTACAGTCTTTATTGACAATTAGTAGGGCTGCAACGATTCGATACGCTGTACGCTACACATCCAACGATACCATTTATTGCGATAACTATCAAGATTCATGAAAGAGAAAAAATAGTAGAAATTTGTAAAATTATTAACAAGTTTATCACTATTAAGCACTTGAGAACATTTAGAAGTAAGGAATTGTGAAAAAGATTTCAATTTTTTAAGTCAGAAATAAATTTTCGCAAAT